GTGGTCCATGTTTTTACATTTATTAACTGCCATTCCAACTGCTCATATACCTTACACCTGATAGTTTTTACTCCTTCAAATATTTTCTGGTTGCTTCCTATAACTTCCAGATCAGGCTTTCCTTACCACTTTACAAATAGTTCTTCAGATCCTCAGTGTTGCTGAGTGGCTTCTAGACTAATTTGAGTAATTTTCAGAATGGCTCATTTCAACTCCTCCTAGGCTCTCATGTTTCATTCAGATTAATCATATACCAGACACTTCAAAAGAAAAAGAAGCTAATCAGTTTGAGCTTTGCAAACAAGAAAATGGCAGCAAAGTCGATGCTCCCTTTCTTCTATCTGTGAACTGAGTGCAGAATATTCAAATTTATCCCATTCTTTCCTTTGGAATGGAAATGATTTGTATCTAGGATGATCATACAATTTTTCATTCAACCTGTAATGATTTTGAGAGAAAAAGGAAGTATTAATAATTTCATAAGGGTAACAGGTATAGACTATGACTATCGTGGGCGAACAGGGTATGTGGCACCCACTGGAGTAACACTCAGTGTTGAGGGCTGCCATCGTTTCTACACCAGAAGTTAGAGAAGTAGTCTTACCTGGGTAGAAGGGATATGTCGGCAGTGGCAGCCATTGTGAACCACCAGGCCTCAGGTTTTATTGTGTCCCTTCATTCTCCATTATTCTACCGTCTGCCCCTCCTTCCTCTCTCCCCCCACAAGCTTCCCCTTAGAATTGAGGGATGGAAGAAAAGGAGCTTATCTTTGTCCTTTCCTTTTCTAATCTTAAAGTGCAATTAGAGAAGTGAAGCTAATTGACCTTTTTGCTATTGTTATAATGCAAAGCAGATTTATTTTTAAAAAAATTTTTAAAGATTTTATTTGACAGAGATCACAATAGGCAGAGGGAGAGGCAGAGGGAGAAACAGGCTCCCCACTGAGCAGAGAGCTCTATGCAAGGCTCAATCCCAGGCCCCAGGGATCATGATCTGAGCCAAAGGCAGACAACCGACTGAGCCACCCAGGCGCCCCTGCAAAGCAGATATATTTTTAAGCACAACAATGAGGATTAAGATACTAGGTAAAAGTGATAGCAGTCTTTCATAGCTGACTGGAACCTACTACAATGGGGAGGCTTGCTGTGTTGCCTTCAGAGGTTAAGTCTTCACCTGATACTTTAGCAGGCTTTTCAAACAGATTCCCTTTGGGCCAGCTCTTATAATTCCTTCTGACTGCCAAGATGGTATTCCAGAGAGTCTATGTTCTGTTTATTCAGGAACTCTCCCATGAAGTCTAAGAGATCAGTTTCACTGTTCTCAGAAGACAAGATCTTCAGGTCTTGCAGGACCTTGCTTCACATGTGCTCCAACTGCAGAGCAGAGTATGCCACTTCCCCATTATCTACAGGCGTCAATCACTGGAAGGCAGATGCTATACCCTCATGTTTTCTGTCAAAGGAAGGAAATCAACAATGTTCTGTATAAGAAAATTTCCATATTTTGGCTCATATCCGCTTTTTCTTTTTCCTCCCAGGCTCCGTGGTTATATAAACAAATAAAAGTTAAAGAAACCGAGGCAAGTGTGTTCTGGTGTCTAGGGTAAAGTAGTAAATCGAGGAACATACTATGAGTGTTTTCCATCTGGGGATAGAATTTCCTTTAAAACTCAGTACTTAATGAGATTGCAGCCTATGCTACAGTAATAGTAATACTAATGTTTTGAGAAAAAAGTAAATGAGAAGATAGAAGTTTGGCTTACAGGGGGATGAAGAGGTTTATTTTTAATAGAGTTCACAAGAAATCGAAGTGGAAATGTGATACGTGATTTAAATTATTGATGGGGACTGGAGAAATTTAAAGTATTTAGAGGGAATAAGCCCAAACTCTAGTTAGTGAAGGAAAGTAGTGAGAAAAACAGTGAATTAGAATAGGCTACCCCCAAATCCTAATGTCTTAACACAACAGAAGTTTGTTTCTTATTCATATTACATGCCTAATGAGGGTTGACAGTTCTCAAAAGAGTCACATAAGAGATCTGGGCTGAGGATGATGCCATCTCAACACATGCTTCCATAACCATAGGGCAGGGGAAAGGGAACATACCAATCACACGCAGAAGCAAAAAAGGAAGCAATTTTTGAATGTGCTTTAAAACTCATACATTTAGCTTGCCATGCATTGCTAATAATGAGTTTTCCCAAAGTGATCTTTAAGTTTATATTAGTAGCTAATTTTTTGTAGTGTTCTTAAATGGAATTTATGATGGATTAGCTTCTTTCTGTATATGACTAAATGAGAAGCATTGCAGAGATTGTTTTTTGGGATTTCTCATGATCTTCAAATATGTGTTTTTTTTTTCAGGTGAACATTTTAGGCTTTTTTTTTTTTTAATGTTTGTTGTTAATCAAGGCCAATGACTTCTTTTTTTTTTTTTTTTAAAGATTTATTTATTTGACAGAGACACAGCGAGAGAGGGAACACAAGCAGGGGGAGTGGGAGGGGGAGAAGCAGGCTCCCCACTGAGCAGGGAGCCCGACGCGGGGCTCGATCCCAGGACCCTGAGATCATGACCTGAGCCGAAGGCAGATGCTTAACGACTGAGCCACCCAGGCGCCCCTTTTTTAGGCATTTCTAAAGATAAACATTACCATTTTATGACAGAATATTTCATTTTACTCTTTTTTTCTATAACTGGGTAAAACCAAACTTTTTTGATAACTCATTTGGAAGCAAAATCTGACCTGACTTAACATAAAGCTATTTGTGGTCTTTATCTCACTTTAGTGTGAATATGAATATATTTTTGCCACAGAATTCTTAATGTATTTGATTCTGTACTACTTCCCCAGACCTACTGACAGTGTTACAGAATATACAGTATATGCCCATATTACCTTTCAAAAATCTGAATTAATTCACATCTGTCTGTTAAGGTTTCAGAAAAGGGACTATAGATCTGTATTTATACAGTCTCCTAACAAGGTCATAGAGGTACGATCCAAATTTAGTCCAAAAGCATTACTTTCAGGTTTTCTAAATTCTTCTAATATTTTCTCTCATTCATTCATTTATATCAAAATACATTTTAGCTTGGAGTAACAATGGGAAATACTTTGAGATGCTTGATTTCATAAAGCCACTAGGTGGCATCTTTATAGAAATAAAAGCACATTAAAAGAAATAACTTATTGTATAAATAAATACTGAGATAAAGGTAGATGTTTCATGAAAAAGATAAGTCATTTTGGGCACTAAATCCTGAGAAAATGCATAAGTTTACTGTGAAAAGTAAAATATGAAATTTAAAAATTACCACTTTCAGAATTGAGAGTCTTTTTCCTATTGGTTTTCAGTTTGCATTCACATTTATTTTGTATAACCAAACAACTATATATTTGTGTGTGTGTGTATATACGTGTGTGTGTTTGGGTTGTGCGTGTGTGTGTGATTTTGATACGTAATAACCATTTCCACCTGCAGACACTACCTCAGAAACCTACCAATTAAGTTAGGCTCATTATTTTAAGATTGAGTTGTATAAGATCATCTCTACAGCCAACTATAAATAAAATATGAACATACAGTGGTTATCAAGTCACATTTAACACTGGGAAGTACTTAAAGTTCTCTACCACCAGGTTTTCTTCCTTCCATCTCTTGCCTGTATGCTTAAACCCAGTTTTTTCATACCGTCCCTAACATTGAGGACAGCAAATGATACATTTTAAAGAAAAGACCCAGAAAGGTGAGTGTTTTTAAAACCAATGGAATTCTCATTACTAATAAAATTTAAGATACATTATGATTTACCTGGTTTGCCCATGAAGGACTAACCCTAGCAGTTATATGAATGCTTCCCCCTCTTTTCTCTGCTCTTTATGAATGGTGGATTCATGAAGTGATTTAAACACATTTGCTTTTATTTAAAACCATTATTAAAGACTTGTATTTGAGAATGTAATGCATATTTTATATTCTTCTGGTAAGAAATCTGTCATAAAATGGGATGAGGACATTGGGCAAAAATGAAATTGGACATTAGGAAGTTATTGGGGAGATGAGTGCAATTTGAGCAGAATGCTATAAATGAATGAAGGCAATGAACATTATGAAGGAAGAATGGACTTGTACTATAGACAACAAAAATTTTCATCACTTAATCTTACATGCTTTTTAAATATCAAAGGGTGTTAAATCAAACAGCATAAAATAGTGGTTTAAAATCGAGGTTCTGGAATCAGACTGCTTGGGTTTAATCCTGGCTCCCTGACTAAACCTCTCTGAGCCTTAGTTTCCTCGTTGGTAAAATGAGGCTAATCAATAAAATCCTTGTAAGGATTAAATTAGAAATATATGTGAAGTGCTTAGTAACAAGTAATACTTAATATTAGCTATTATTATGAAGCCACAGGATAGTTAGCACTACATTTGCAATAGGAACATAATTGATCCTTTTCCCCAATAACGTGCTTCTTTAAAAACCTTAAAGAATTTATAGTGATAGAAAAACACCTTTATAATTCCGTGATTAACAGAAGTTTTGCTTCTCCTGACTTAAAAAGGGGAATAGCTCCTGTCTCCCTTTTTTCTTTGGCTGCCAGGAAGCTAAGAGCCAAGTTCTAAGCTTAATAAATGCAAGTAGGCACCTACTGTGTACAACTGTGTTCCCCTGTCAAGGTCTTCACTCTCACTTTATATTTACATTTTCGCCAATCCCGATCTTTTATATCTAAGCCAAATTGCTGTCAGCGTTTGGTTCAGAGAACTGTGCCGTTCACAAGTGTAAGGGAGTTTGGAGAAGAGCGTCCCATTCACTTTGGGATAGGTAACCTGAACCGGACAGCCCTCCCGGCCGCCTTCCTCCTCCCGCCCCTCCCCCTGCCTCACTGCTCCCCCCGCCGCTCGCCCCTTGGCCCCGCCCCTTCCCGCCCCTTGGCCCCGCCCCTTCCCGCCCCTGCGTTTCTTCCCAGCGAGAGCACCGCCTCTTCTCGCGGGACCTGAGCCTGGCGGGAGGAGGTGGCTGCAGGGCCGTTGCTAGGATATAGCCGCAACACAGAAGAAGGCGGGCGCGGACGCCGCTTCCTCCGAGCGCTTCCTGAGAAACCTCTGCGACCCGAGTAGCTGCTTTTCTCAGTCAGGTAGGAGGACAGGTTTGGGCTGCCTTCTCCTGGCCCCACCCCAGACCGGCCTTGAACCGGGGACTACGGCGCGGGACTCCCAGAACTTTGTGCGGGGCGCTTGTCCCGCCTGAGCTCTGGGGACTGCGTGGCTGATGGAGAATGTCCCACCTCTACTTCAGAAATTGTGCAAAGCATCCCATTTTTCTTGGTTCCTTTTCTGGTTCTGTATCTCAGATTTGGGGTTCGGAAGCAGCAGCATCAAGGTGGGAGGTGTACCTCATCTCCCACCCGGAGTGCTTATCACAGTGACAGTAAAGAAGTAAGACGTGCGTGTAACCCAGATCTGGCATTAGAAGACGTGTAGACATCCGTGGTGACATTTCCAGTCTAGTAAACAGAGGGCTTTCACACTTTCCTCCTTGGCACTCTCCTCTCCTCCCATGGTCTTTGCCGTGCCTCCAAAAAAACTTAAAAATTCAACAGGTTTATTTGGTAGAAGGCAAAGCTGGACCCCTGCCTTACTAGTCACACTAACATTCTAGATACATCAGTGAAATCATGCATTGTTGGTGAAAGAGGGACATTTTTGGTATGCAATCATAATAGGGACTGCTTTTTGCTTTTTGCACAATTTTTTAAGATTAAAACATTTACAGTTGAATAGGTAAACGTAAACATGAAAGTTCAAACAGTAAAAAGAATGAATGTGCAGTGAAAATCTGTTTTACACCCGTGTCCTCCCGTCTGCCCTTTATCTTCCACAGTTATTCTATCCTTATACGAATATCTAGTTGCACCTGTGACATGGTAGCTCCTGGCATGTGTTATTTTATTTTATTATTTTATTTTTATTATGTTCAGTTAGCCACTGTATAGTACATCATCGATTTTTGATGTAGTGTTCAGTGATTCATTAGTTATAACACCCAGTGCTCATCACAACATGTGCCCTCCTTAATACCCATCACCCTGTTATCTCATCCCCCCACCGCCCTCCCCTCTGAAACCCGGAATTTGTTTTCTGGTGTCCATGGTCTCTCACGGTTCTTCTCCCTTTCTGATTTCTCCCCCTTCAGATTTCCCACCTTTCCCCTATGGTCCTCCGTGCTATGGGCATGTGTTTTTGTTGGAGGCGGTCACGGAGGAGATGTGGTTGCTGGTTGACCCGAGAACTGAACTGGGGCAATCACAGGCTCCCCCCCTGTCCTTAGAATGGACCTCCCACCCAAAGCCCCAGGGGGGGCTGCTTCAAGGATCCAGCCTTGAGAGAGTGATGTGCTGTTGAGACCTCTAGACTGGATTCCTGACTGAACCCAGTAAAGGCCTCTCTATATAAACTCTTTAAGATTCTGGCTGGTGGGTCCAGAGATCTACTGTCTTGCAGCTGCCAAAGATAAGCTTTGTGTGTAAGTTCCCTCACTTATTAAACTTGCCACCTACCAGTCTGGAGTGCTGCCTCTTTCCTTGGTTTCTCCTTGCAGTCCGTGTTCGGAGCTCAGTATCGGATTTTACCCTAGAGAACTCTAGAGGTTGTGAACCATCAGCTTTGCTTTTCCCATTAATTGATCATAAAGTATGTAGCTTTTAGAATTGGCTTAGCATAATTTGAGATTCACCCAGGTCGTATCAGTAGTTTATTCCTTTTTATTGATGAGTAGTAGTCCATTTTGTGAATGTCTCTTAGTATGTGGATCCATGCCTCAACTGAGGAACATTTGTGTTGTTTCCAGAGTTCGGTGATTAAGAATAAAGGCTTTATAAACTTCTGTGTGCAAATTCGGTATGAATGTAGTTTTTCATTCTGTCTGGGTAAAGAACATAGATTGCTGGGTCATATGATACGTGTATGTTTAATTTTATAAGAAGACTGACAGTTATTTCAAATGCTGTACCAATTTTCATTTCCACCATCAAGCTATGAGTTCCACTTGTTTACGTACTCAGCAACACTTGATATTGTTGGGCTAAAAATATGTATTTGAAGTTGCATTTCTTTAATAACTAATGATACTGAGCATCTTTTCAGGTGCTTGTTTTCGGGGCCAGGGCTAGACTGAGGCAATTGAGGCAACTAGGCTCCAAATTTGAGGAGGCATTTAACTTCAGGTGCACCTGCAAGTGTGGCTCAGTCCACACAAGTCACACTTGTGCCACTCTAGTCCTGGCCCCCCTTCTTTGCCTTCTGTATATACTCCTTGTTGACTTACCTGTTAACTATTTTACTCATTTTTAAACTGTTACTCTTTTCTTACTGAGTTTCGAGAGTTCTCTATATATTCTGGTTACAAGTCCTTGGTCCAAAAAATTGTCTCCCAGGCTATGATTTGTCTTTTTATTATTCTAGTTATGTTTTTTGAAGAGCAGACATTCTCAATTTTGTTGCTGTTTTAGAAGATGACATCTTGGCCATTTGCGGGGAGGATGATCCACCAGATAGTAACAAAAACATTACCTCAGCCTCTCCAAAGGGGTGGGATGAGTATGTTGCTAGGAGTCAGGGCTTCTTTATAATGCTCTCTCTCTAATCAGACTATTAAGCCCTGTTACAGGAGAAAATAGCGAAAAGGAAAATTTTTTGTGGGTGAGAACCTGAAGAGGTTTCTTGAGCTTTTTAAAAATTGAGTTTTTATTCATTTTTTTTTCTAATTTTGTTTTTTTCTTTATTATTTTGGAAGTGTAAAACTTTATTTCAGTTTTTTCATTGGTTGTACTTGAAATTCAGCTATGCCTATTTAATTTAACAAAGTCTAGGGTTAAGAATATCATATCCCTGATACAAATATAGTGATCTGAAGGGGTACGTGCACCCCAATGTTTTTAGCAGCAATGTCCACAATAGCCAAAGTATGGAAAGAGCCAAGATGCCCATCAACAGATGAATGGATAAAGAAGATGTGGTATATATACACAATGGAATATTATGCAGCCATCAAAAAAAAAACCCCGAAATCTTGCCATTTGCAGCAACATGGATGGAACTAGAGGGTATTATGCTAAGCGAAATAAGTCAGTCAGAGAAAGACATGTATCATATGATCTCACTGATATGAGGAATTCTTAATCTCAGGAAACAAACTGAGGGTTGCTGGAGTGGTGGGGGGTGGGAGGGATGGGGTGGCTGGGGAGGGTATGTGCTATGGTGAGCGCTGTAAATTGTGTAAGACTGATGAATCACAGACCTGTACCTCTGAAACAAATAATACATTATACTTTTTTTTTTAAAAACAAAAAGATAGTAGGAAGGGAAAAATGAAAGGGGGGAAATTGGAGGGGGAGATGAACCATGCGAGACTATTGACTCTGAGAAACAAACTGAGGGTTCTAGAGGGGAGGGGGATGGGGGGATGGGTTAGCCTGGTGATGGGTTAGCCTGGTGATGGGTATTAAAGAGGGCACGTATTGAATGGAGCACTGGGTGTTATACGCAAACAATGAATCATGGAACACTACATCAAAAACTAAGATGTAATATATGGTGATTAACATAATAAAAAAGAATATTAAAAAAAAAGATACGCTGTAAGTATAAAATAAATACTGATTCTGAATCTTCAGAAAGAAAAAAAAGAATGCATAACATCTCACTAATAATCTTTTCATACTGGTTACGTGTTGAAATGATACTATTAAATATTATAGAATAAACAAAATAAATTATCAAAATTAAAAAAAAAGAATATCATATTCCTCAATTTTGTAAACACTATAAGAATTTGAGAACAGTTCACTCTATCTTTCCCTTCCCAATTACATATTCTTGTTGTCTAATATTTCAGTTTTCTACTATTATTTTGTGTTGACAGTATTTGTGTGTACCCGTATGTTTATAATTTATTTGTTCACCTTTCCTTTTGCACTTTGGACTTCTGTTGAGCCCATTTTCCTCTTCCTTCAAGTGTATCCTTTAGAACTTTCTTTAGAGCAGGTATTTGGTGGTAACTTATTTGCAAATATTTCTATTTTCTTTCTTGAAAGAGAATTTTGCTAGGTGCACAATTCTAGGTTGATAGTTATCTTCTTTTAATTATTCCATTGTTACCCTGGCTTCTATATTTCTGGTGAGAAATCTGCAGTGATTTTACTTTTCTTTCCTTTGTATTAATGTTAGCAAATTAATATCATTCAAAACAGTAGATGATATGTCCTTTATCACTATATGCTTTCTGGACCTTCTCTTTGTTATTCTGTAATGTAATTACAGTGTATATGGCTTTGAATTATTTTTACTTATCCCATTGGGTATCCCTTATATTTATGTTATGCCTCTTGGATCTTTGGATCCATATTTTTCATCAGTTTTGTAAAATTCTCAGCCATCACCTTTAAAAATATTTTCTCTCTTCTATCTTTTTGTTTTCTCTGGGATTCCAATTTGGCATACAGTAGATCAGGGGCTGGCAGACTTTTTTTGGAAAGGGCTTCTCAGGCCACATATAGTCTTGGTTGCATATTCTTTGTTATTTTTTTATTTTAAAAGTACAAAACCATTCTCAGCTCACAGCGAGATATACTTAGCAGTAAAATATGCTGGAGTTTTTCTCTTTTGCATGGCCCTTAATCTCTCTATTTTTCATATCCTTATCTCTTTGCAGCATTCTATATAAAATCCTTTTATTTATCTTCTAGTTTACTAATTCTCTCTTCAACTCTAATGCTATATTCATTGAATTCAACAAATACATATTTTTATTCCAGATATTCCACATTTTTGGAAATTTGTCATCTTGTAGCCAGAGAACTTCACTAAGGTTATTTTTTTTCTCTCTATAAGGATTTGTGCTTAATTTGTTAGCCCCAAACACAGCTTTCCCACCTCAATACTGTTCTAAATTTTTATCAGCCCCTGCTGTTGCCACAGAAATATGCCTCAAGGCCACTTCTATCCTCCCTTCCTGGCTGCCAGCTTCTATACTTAGGCTCCCTGCTGTACCGGGCTCCTCAGTGCTCTGATCCAGTTCCTGCCCCTGCAGCCTGGCTGTTGGCTGCCCTAGCCCACTCTGGCCCCAGTCCTGGATGCTGTCATACTGTCTCCCAAGCCAAAGCTCTTGGTTGCTGTGCCTCAGGCCCCAGTCAGCTCCAAGAGCAACTCACATTTGTTTGTTGATGTGTTTGTTTTGGGGAACAAAGGTCATTGGAGACTTGCTACAGTTTGTGAGAACAAAACTACTGCAGAGTGATGCTATCCAGGGTATGGTTGCTGTGGAGCTGGCAGATTCCTTGGAGCTTCTAATCAGTTGTAATCCCAGAAGCATAAATCCTGTGTTAGTTTGTATTCAGGAAAAAAAGCTATTCAAATAAGTCCTTTCACAAGGCATTGTTCTTTGAATAAGGAAGAGGTGACAATATATTTTAAAATACTTTTCAGTATATTCTAGACAGTAGATTTTCCCCAAATTGATTGTGTTTTGAGGTTCTCTTTTGGTATAATTTTTACTTTCTGTGGTGTTTTTATTAAAAATTCACCAATGCTTTTTCCTGATGCCATTACTAAAATAATCAGTATTTTAAAAAAATAATGAGCAACATTGCAGTATGTTACGAACATTGCTGTATACCACCAATGAATTTGATATTTGGTGTAGAAATTTTTATGTGTAGTAAATGTATTTATTTTTCTTGGTTCAGGAAAATGTCTGATCAGGAAGAAGAATTTGATTCTCAGAATGTTGTTAATGCATCAGAAGAAAATGAAGATGCTTTTGGGATTATCAGTATTCCAGTTCCCCCAGAAGAGTTTCCAGAGTCAGATCAAACAGAAGATAATGAATCTGAAGTTGAACCATCCAGTGAGGGCCCTACAACACATGTTAAGGAGGAAAGTTACCAGAGCTTATCAAATGTGGAACCAGAAGATGAAGAACAACTCATGGAAGAAGCTTTGTTGCCCAAACAAGTTTCATATTCTCCCAGAAATTCTACAGAGCACTATGTAACTAAAGATGATAATGCAATGCAGTCAGCCAAACAGTATTCAAATGCTGGATCCCTGGCATTTCTGGATAAGATAAAGGCCATAAAGGAATCTCTGAAAGCATCAGTGAAAGATCCTTTAGCAACAGGTATTACCTAGGGAAGATAGGCATTTCTTTTCCTCATTTTGAAGAATGGTAGCTTTTTCAGATTTGTTTTGCTTGAAGATTTGATTACTTTCCCTTTCCTTTATCCACCAAACTTCTGTAGCTACTGCCACTTGATCTCTTAATTAAGTGTGAAGGTACTCTATTCTGTACTATTTTCCCTAAATAGACGAATACCATTAAATTTTAAGTTGGTATTGATCCATTTTTTTTCTAAATAAAGTAGGTTTTTAAAATGTTTAGGGACCTTGGAAAATGGACAAATTTTTGAGTATAATTGTAATTCTTTTGCATGCCTCTTTGGAATTAATTGTTCATAGTTAGCAAGAAAGAGTTGGAATGGAACTTGACTCCAGATTTCCTAATTTCATATCCAGTGCTCATTCTTCATATCTTGTTACTTTTACATATTTCCATACTTCTGCTTAGGGTTAACTTTATATTTAGCTTTGGAAAAATTGTTGTTGTCTTGCATTATTGGTTAATACCCATCACCCAGTTACCCAATCCCTCCACCCCCTTCCCTTCTGCAACCCTCAGTTTGTTTCCCAGCCTCCAGAGTCTCTCATGGCTTGTCTCCCTCTCTGATTTCTTCGTATTCAGTTTTCCTTCCCTTCCCCTATGGGTCCTCTGCATATGAGTGAAACCATATAATAATTTTCCTTCTCCGCTTGACTTATTTCATTTAGCATAATACCCTCCAGTTCCATCCATGTCAATGCAAATGGTAGGTATTCATCCTTTCTGATGGCTGAGTAATACTCTATTGTATATATGAACCACATCTTCTTTATCCATTCTTCTGTTGAAGGACATCTCAGTTCCTTCCACAGTTTGGCTATTGTGGACATTGCTGCTATGAGCATTGCGGTGCAGGTGCCCCTTCTTTTCACTACATCTGTATCTTTGGGGTAAATACCCAGTAGTGCAATTGCTGGGTCGTAGGGTAGCTCTATTTCTAACATCTTAAGGAACCTCCATACTGTTTTCTAGAGTGGCTGTACCAGCTTGCATTCCCACCAACAGTGTAAGAGGGTTCCCCTTGGTATCCAAGATCTATAAAGAACTTACTAAACTCAACACCCAAAAACAAATAATCCAGTCAAGAAGACATGTTTGTTTGTTTGTTTGTTTGTTTGTTTTTTAAAGTAATCTCTATGCCCAAGTGGGACTCGAACTTGCAGCTCTGAGATCAGGAGTCACGTGTTTTACTGACTGAGCCAACCAGGCACCCCCTGGGCTCCATTTTTTGATATTTCTGTGATTGCCTGATATTGTAGTATATAACAAGCACATGGTGATTAGAATAAAGTTGTCTTGGTCCTGTACTTTCTGAGGCTCACAAATTCCTTCACACACCTCCCCTTCCCAAAGCTTAGGAAGTCACTGCTATGAAAATGTTAAAATATATTAATCATAGAAATTTGAATCTATAAAACAACTGAAATAGCTTTGTGATAATTTAACATCTCTGAGAGTATTTTCTTTGTTGATAGCTGTGAAAATAAGTTTTAACAATCTCAAAGAACCTCAGCATCAACAATGCCTAGTTAAATTTTATTCTGGGATTATTGATAAATGTCTCATTTAGCTTTATGAAAATTTTCATGTATTAGGAATCTAGAAATATACAAAACTTTTTCTGCCAACAGTGTACACTCTGCCCTCCATCTTACTTATTACTCACTTCTTACATCTTACTTATTACATCTTCTCCATTAAAATTTAAAGTCTGTAGATGTAAAAGAAAAAAATTTACCCCATTATAATAAGCTTTTAAAAAGTGTTTCTTTATGGGCGCCTGGGTGGCTCAGTTGGTTAAGCGACTGCCTTCGGCTCAGGTCATGATCCCGGGGTCCTGGGATCAAGTCCCACATCGGGCTCCCGGCACAGCGGGGAGCCTGCTTCTCCCTCTGACCCTCTCCTCTCTCATGAGGTTTCTCTCTCGCTCGCTCTCCAATAAATAAAAAAAAAAAAAAAAAAAAAAGTGTTTCTTTATTATCAACATGTAAATGCCTTGATTTTCTATTTTATAGAATGGGTAGTGAACCACATAATGTCTATTTTTGTGAAAAGTAGATTTGTATGTAGTTATTCTAGATATTTGTAATGAACAGTGATTTTCTGTTTTACATTTTGACAACTATAGACATAAATCAATTATGGGAAGAAGAATGGACTTAGATACCTTTTTCTTTTTTTTTTTTTTTAAGATTTTATTTATTTGACAGAGAGAGGGAACACAAGCAGGGGGAGTAGGAGAGGGAGAAGCAGGCTCCCCGTGGAGCAGGGAGCCCAATGCGGGGCTCGATGCGGGGCTCGATCCCAGGACCCTGGGATCATGACTTGAGCCAAAGGTGGACGCTTAACGACTGAGCCACCCAGGCGCCCCTTAGATACCTTTTTCTTTGAAAATTTCTCTATTGGATTTTCTTAATTTCATGAATATGCATTGCTTTACTGACGCATGCTATCAATATGTAATCAAAGAATGCACATGCACATCATAACTTCAGGGACACTCTCTAGGTCTCTGGGTCTCTTGTCCCAATACTCAGTACACAAAAATGCTTGATTTTTCTGAAATGTTCCTATATTTATATCTGAGTAATATAATGCCAGATACCAATACCAGATTAGTACCAATTAATACCCAGATAATACCAAATATTGGGACTCTTGAAAAGCAGTTTAGTCTTATTTCCTATTTCTTGTGGTATTCTGAGTGAAGAGGTGATCCTGAACGTGCACTGATCCTCAGAGCAGCGAATAGAAAAAAGATCGGAACTGGAAGCTGGGGATGGGGGAACAGGTACTGACCACTGATGCTAATTCTTGAGATTCTGGATTAATCTGCAAAAGAAAATCTGAGTGTCACTTCTCATAGAAATTAAAAAGTAACTCTTACCATGGAAGTGCAGTTGGGGAACATGGTAAAGGCAATCTGCATTCTATGTGACTAAAAATTGCTCCATCATTCTCTATCTGCTTATGGACTGTAGGTTGCTGACCCTTGCTTTTGACTATGGTTCTTTCTTTTCTCTTTTTATATACAGTAAAAGTTGTACTTTTTCCTCTGGGCCAGGAAATTATAATGCCTTTTAAAATAGACATCATTGTAAAATACCTCAAGGATCATTTTTCATACCTACTGAAGATCCCATCTAATGTACTGCAGATAAGATATTCAGGTAAGCTTGGAAGCTAATAAAACTTACTAAGACTTCTTTGGTTTTATCCTGTAAATAATCAAGATCTTTGATTTGTTAAATGAAATATATTGATATCTACTGTTTGAACATTATATTGTGATTATGCATTCATTCAACACATTTTTATTGAGGACATATTTGTTCTAAATACTTAGCTAAGAACTGAAGATGTAAAGAAACATGAAACAAAATCTTTGCTCTCAAATTGTTTACAGACTAGTCAGAAAGATGATGTATGCAATAGTTACCACATAATGTGTAAATGTTTTAATGGAGATATGCACAAAAAACTGTGGAGAACAGAGAGGAAAGAAACTGGGAGAGTCTAGAATGCTTCATTTAATAAAAGTGATAATATTTGTGCTAAGTCCCAAAGAGGTGAGAAAATCTGGGACTCTGGGTGAAGTTTTAAGAAGCTTAGAGCGGCTAGAAGTCGATTCTGTGTGGGGAGTGGGAGACAATGAGGTTAAAAGAAGTTGATGAGGAATGAGTATGTATAGAATAAGAAAAGGACTAAAAATGGTTTATCTATCCATCTTTATACACTGAGGTCAATTCACATTCCCATGATGTCCAAGTTTACTTATATTTTATGGGCAGTATTGAGCAGCCCACTTTATAGTAGCCTTGTGTCACGAGAGGACGTAGTCCTTGTAACTGAAAGAGTGAGCGAGAGCAACATAGCTAAATAAATGTTTCTATAGAATATGTCTGCACAGATGCTAATATTTTAGTTTTGAAGTTTTGGTATTAACTTATAAAGATGCCACAAAAAATTTTCCAGGGAAATAAAAACATTTTTTTTTTGTAGGAAAATCCTAAACACTAAAAAGGAGTAAGCCATACCTATTAAATTCTTCCTCGTCAAATCAGAGAAAACAATCAGTTCAATTTCAAAATTATTTTTAGAAAACTATTATAATGAATGTGCTGTAATACTAAGATGCTCATGTATTCAAACAACTGATTATTAAAGCCTGGGTCGGGAAACAGCGCTAAAATTTAAATAGTTATTAGTAATAACATTCATGATGGTTAATTTGTTGAGATGTACTCTGTGCTAGTCCATCTACAAAATGTTTTGCCTGCATTATCACATTATCATTCAGTCCATACAACAACCAACAGTAAGGTAGGTATTATTATTAACTTTTTTTGAAGGAAGGAAACTACAGCCTGGGAAGCTTGTACAAATTCACACAGCTAATGAGTGGTAGAATCTGAACTTAAATATAGGTATGACTCCCAAAAGGGAATTTGAAACTGCTTGCTTGGCATTAACTATAAGATGAAGTTCAAAACTGGAGAAGAGAGAGCACTTTGAGACTGGAGTAGCTAGCCAGTGGTACCTGAGACTCTCTGTTCTTTGTACTTCATAACCAACCTTTATGTGTAGGTGCCAGTCATCACCACTAGGTAACAGGCTTATGTCAGCCATGATAATAAAAGAGCTTGATTCTATGTCAACTGCTCTCTAACACAGGTGTTTTTTTCTAGTACTAGAATTGGAGTTCAAATTTGGTGGGACTAAGTCTACTATACAAACTAGAGGAATGAAGAGGGCCCTGGGAATCTATGTTAGTTTCCTATGGCTGTTGTAATGATTAACCACAAGCTTAATAACTTAAATGATTTCTCTTATAGTCCTGGATGCCAGAAATCGTAGATCAGTTTCACTGAGATGAAACCAACATGTGGGCAGGGCTGTTCTCCCTCTGGAGGTTCTGGGGGGAATCTACTCCCTTGTCTTTTCCAGCTTCTAGAGTTGTACATCGTGCATTCATTAGCTCATGGCCCCTTCCTCCTTCTTTAAAGCAAGCAGCAGAGCATCTTCAAATCTCTCTCTGCTTCTGTTTTATCATCTTCTCCTCTGTAATCAAATCTCCTTTCCTTCCTCTCTAAGGGCATTTGTGATTACATTTAGGACCCACCTAGATAATCCAGGGTAATCTCTCCATCTCAAATTTTTTTTTTTAAAGATTTTATTTATTTATTTGAGAGAGAGAATGAGATAGAGAGAGCATGAGTGGGGGAGGGTCAGAGGGAGAAGCAGACTCCCCGCTGAGCAGGGAGCCCAATGTGGGACTCGATCCCGAGACTCCAGGATCATGACCTGAGCTGAAGGCAGTCTCTTAACCAACTGAGCCACCCAGGCGCCCCTCCATCTCAAAATTTTTAACTTAATAAAATTTGCAGTCATCTTTGCTATATAAGTTAACATTAATAGGTTCAGAGGATTAGGACATGGATATATTCTGGGGCAACCTATCACATAGTCCATATAATATTCATGTTAATTTTTTAAGTTAAGAATTTGGGGTGTGAAATTGAAACTCATGGATCTTTGTGCTTTCTTAAACATAGCTAAAATAGACTGGTGGTATCTGATATATTTCTAAGAACGAGTGTAACAAAATCTTTGCTATGTCCAAATTACTAATTGTAATTTAGGAAGACCATGCATTGGAAGAGTGATAGAGATTCTATCAAAACAGCAGCCAATAACATTATACATAGTTTTGTATTCCTTAAAATAGATAAGTAAACTTTGAGTAAATTTACAGAATAAACCAATGAAAGGAGAGAGAATTAAAAAAGATATAAAATAATGTAGAAATAAAGTGATGTACACTTTTTCCAGCACAAACCTGAGGCTTAACTCCACGTTTTCATGAATTTATTTACATGAGTTCCTGGTTGTAGAAACAGAAAGGGAAGGATGGAACTCTGAGTATATGCTTTTCTGCACTGGAGAGAGGAATGGGTATGAAAATAATCAAATTTTCCCTGATATAGATATTGCCTGTATTTACATATAACACATTGTGATTTTTTAGAGAGTCAATGTTTAGAGTATGCTCATAGAGTATGTTTTTTATTTTTAAATAGTTACAGAGTTGCATGGTTTATTATGTATTTGTATTTCTGATAAGAAATCCTGTGAGCGTTGTAGCTTTACTTATAATGCTGAATTCTTGCACTTAACTTTTCCCGTTGTGGTGTTTTCTGTACTAACATTTCAGCAAGGGGTGGACATCATCAATATTCTATTCAGTAATTGAACTATATGTGTTCATATAATCATCTTTGACATTTTCCATCCCCTTAAAATGAGTATGTATAGTTATTTCTTTGTCATAACACTTCTAATTTCATGTCATTTTTAGGAATGATTCTTAAAAATAATGAGACTCTACTGCAACATGGAGTTAAGCCACAAGATATTGTACAAGTGGAAATTTTTTCTACAGATCCAGATCTATTTCCAATCAAAAGAATACATGGATTAAATGATGCCTCTCAAATCATAACTGTCAGAGTACAAACTGGTTAGTTATGCAATGTCTTTTAGATAAAGTATTTTAGAGTCCCTTTGTAGGTGAACTTTCATTCAATCTTGGTTTTACCTCCTTAGGTATTACTGAGTACCAGGAGGTAGCTGTTGAGATTATAAAATCTGACTTTCACAAACCATTTCTTGGTGGATTCAGACATAAAATAACAGGAATAGAATATCACAATGCTGGAACACAAACTGTACCTAAAAAGATTCCCGAAAAAGACAATGTATTTTGTAGGGATACCCAGGTAATATTTTTATTTTTATTTGTAGGTTTTGAAACTGCAGAATCAACAGATGTTCTGTGTACCTCTCTAAAATTAAAAATTTCCCCATTTGCCATGATGTGGATGGAGCTAAAGAGTATTATGCTAAGCGAAATAAATCAGAGAAAGAAATACCATGTGATTTCATTCATATGTGGAATTTAAGAAACAAAACAAACAAGCAAAGGGGAAAAGAGAGAGAGAAGCAAACCAAAAAACAGACGCTTAATATGGAGGACAGACTGATGTTTATCAGAGGGGACGGGGTGAGGGGATAGATAAATAGGTAATGGGGATTAAGGAGTACACTTGTTGTGATGTATGAAGTGTTCAATCGCTATATAGTACATCTGAAGCTAATATTACACTGTATGTTAACTAACTGGAATTTAAATAAAAACTTAAAAAATTAAGTTAAAATCTTCCAAGGAATTATATGGTAGTTCAAATAATAATAGAAAATTAACTGAACACAGAAAAATGTGCTCTTTACTCACTTAGGTGTGTATATAGTGGATATTTAAATTTTTATGTTTTTATTTTAGACAGTTTTTCAGAGAAAAAAGCTCCAACAGACTACAAATACAACATCCACACAGATGACTAAAATTGGTGTGTATGTATCAAATATGACTGATAAACTGATAACACCAGGAAAATATTTTTCGGCAGCAGAATACCATGCTCAAAGATTACAGGCGGTAAGATAACTTTTATTATGAGTGAATACTAAAAATGAAATAAATGAGCCAGTTGTTCTGTGTGTGTCTCTGTGTGTTTCCTTAAGCCACACTAGCTTACGAAACAACCCGCATGGGTGTTGTCAAAGAAAAAATTATTCATAACACATATTAAAGATGGTAAGGCAGACTTTATTTAAGAGGGGCTACTACAGTGGAGTTTTGTGGTAGGGAAGACAGACTGGGCTCAACTCTACATACAAGGAAAAGTGGAAATTTATAGCCAAGGAGTAGGGTAGGGGTCAATGTATGGAAAATTACTAAGAAAACATCAGGGGTAAGGGAAGATTCTGGCTAAACCATTCTAACAGGATATTTTATTGAAGGCAGGCCAAACTGATTAGGCATCATCTGTGGGGATATATTGTAAGTTAAGGAGCCTCATTAAATATTGAGGATGGGATTCTGGTTAAACTGACTTAACAGGCTTTTGCTAAAATTGAACAATGCAGAGATGATCACAGAAGCCCAACAGTTGAGGCCTAATTGAAAAACTGCTCAGAGGAGCCTGATTAGAGTTTGGTCAAGGAGAGAATCTTTATCAGTGTAAGTTATGTTTCATTGGTATTAAAAGCAGTTTTTATCTCCAGTCTCCCCCCAGTAAAAGGAACCATAATCCTAAATGCTCCTAATCCTTCCCTTTCCCTTAGGGATTCCTAAGGGTTGTGTGTTACCTTTGGCCATTATTAGCTTTGTCTTCTCTATACCTTGGCCTTAATCTTTGGGACAGTAGAATCACCTAGGGAGCTTTCCAGAGTAATTGAAACCAAAAGGACACTAAAGTCTGTTTTCTCTGATATTAATATAGCCACTCCATCCCTTTTATGTTATTGTTTGCATGGCCTATCTTTTTCTGTCCTTTTACTTTCAACCTATTTGAGTCTTAATCTAGAATATCTCTCTCATAGACAGCATATAATTGGATCTTGTCTTTTTATCCAGTCAGATAATCTCTACCTTGTGATTGGAGTGTTTAATACATTTATATTTAATGTAATTATTGATAAGGTTGGATTATATCAGCCATTTGCTATTTATTTTCTGTATGTCAGATGTCTCTCTTGTCCTCTCTTCTTCCTTTACTGTCTTTTATGTTAAATAGGTATTTTCTTTTCTTTTTTTTTTTTTTTTTAAGATTTTGTTTATTTATTTGACAGAGAGAGATATAGCAAGAGAGGGAACACAAGTAGGGGGAGTGGGAGAGGGAGAAATAGGCTTCCCCCTGAGCAGGGAACCCAATGCGGGACTCGATCCCAGGACCCCGGGATCATGACCTGAGCCAAATGCAGACGCTTAACGACTGAGCCACCCAGGTGCCCTAAATAGGTATTTTCTAATGAACATCTTAATTCTTTTTTTTTTTCCCCATTTAAACCCTTATTTTCAATATAATATATACTTTTAAAAAAAGTATACAATTCAATGATTTTTACTATATAAACAGAGTTATACAACATTTTAGAATAGTCTCATCATTCCAGAAAAAAGTCCTGGACCCAATAGCAATCAGTCCCTATTGCCCTCCAATGTTTTCTGCCTTAGGAAACCACTAATCTACTTTCTGCCTCTATTGGTTTACCTATTCTGGATATTTCTTACACATGGAATCATACAATATGTAGTCTTTTGTGATTGGCTTTTTTAAAACATAACATAAGGTTTTCAAGGCTCATCCATGTTTTGACATGTACCCATACTTCATTCTTTTATATTGCAGAATAATATTTCATTGTATATACTCAATTGGATTTACCTATTGTATCCATGCCAATGTATATACTGAATTTTGTCTGTTTATCGGTTGATGGACATTTGAGCTGTTTCCACTTACTGGCTGTTAGGAATAAAGCTGCCATAAACATTTGTGTACAAATTTTTATGTGGAATATGTTTTCATTTCTCTTGGATATATGTCCAGGAGTGTTATTGCTTGATGATAAGGTAAGTATATGTTTAACCTTTTTGAGGAACTGCCAGATTGTTTTCCAAAGCAGCTGCACCATTTTATGTTCCACCAGCAGTGTATGAGGATTCCAATATCTTCACATCCACATCGACACTTGTTACTGTCTGTATTTTTCATTATAGCTATCCTAGTAAGTGTGAAGGGATTTCTCATTGTGGTTTTGATTTTGCATACCCTGATGGCTAATGATATTGAATATCTTTTCATGTGCTTATTAGCAACGTTTTACATTATTGGAAACATTTTTGATTATGATGACATTGGGGAGATGCTACCGTACTTTAATGGGTAGAGAACAAGGATGCTGCTAAACATCCTATAAGCATAGGAACTCCAACCCCACTGCAACAGATAATTATCTGTTCCAGACTATCAACAGTGCCATTGCTGAAACCTGCTTCAGAGTCTGTCTCTATCACAGTAGGTAGCCATTGATGTCTCTGCTCAATTTTTTTTTTCTTTTTTTTGGTTGTTGCCGTTTTTCTATTTTAAGTCTGGCTTCCTGAGGGTTGCACCTGGTTTAGCATAGCCTAATGGTTAGGTAATGATTGATCAGAGGTTGTACTCAAATTCCGTGATCTAGTAAAGCTTCCACTTTCACTAATGGACCCATGTGTGGATTAAAGGATGCATTCAAAGTTCAGACAAGTTCAGTTTCTGTTTATCCTGGCTTTTACTTTCTGCTGGGTTTTCTTCTTGCATTTCTTCTGCACAAGACCTCACAGCCTGGGATATGGAAATAGGGAGGGCCTTTTCCACTCTCTCCTGAGTATGTGTTTATCCTTGTACATGTGTTCGGCCTTCAGGCTACAAGGGATATTTGGGAGGTTATCATGGTTCACTATGGCTATCTCCTTTTCCTGATCTCCCTGATTAATTTCTGGCTAGTCTGCCTATCTATTGCTTGCTCCCGAATACAATCTCAGCTGAGTTGCTGGCTGGTTTGTTTTTAGTTTTTTGTGGGTTTTTTTTTTTTTTTTTTTGCACTGAGATTACTGTTGTTTGCGACATTGCTTAGGGCGTATGGAGTTTTTCCTTGATTCACTTTAAATCAATTCAGCCCCCTGAAAGTGGACACAGATGAAACCAGGGTGAGGAGAAGGGGGATATGAGAGCAGCCCTAAGTTGAACTGCCACAGACTATCAGTGTTCCTACTTGAGGTTTAGTAATTTTTCTTCAATAAACATTTATTTGATGTATGCCTTTGGTCAATTTCCAGGATCCTGAGATGGTTATTATTTTTTAAAAACAATTTTGTCCAGTTTTATCATTCCTTTTTGGACGGAGTATTTGCTGAGACTTTTACTTTTCCAATCTGGTAGTCCTGCTCCCAGGTCCAAATAGAATTTTCAGTGACTTATTTTGACATGACAGAATTTTCACAATTGAAATAAGAGATATTTTAATATACATAAAATCTATTTTAAAATATGAATCTCTTGGATCTTTATCAGAAATGTGCATGCATGCACACACACGTGTTCCTAAAATTGTAATCTGTAATCATTTATATGTATGGTCCAGTCACTGTTGTCTTCTTGTGTATTTTCCTAAAGGAGCTTGGCAGATGTCTGAACTTGTATAGAATTGAGGCTGCAGGCAACCCGTAGGTAAGGTGGTTGCTCTTAATTTGAGAAGGTATGCCCTGTCCATTTCTTGCATCATCTTTGGAAAGTCGGCCAGACACTGTAGCTGGTACAGGCTTTTAGGGTCTGGGGAAGGTAGGCTGGATTGGTTGCTCCACAGCAATGTAGTTTGGAGAGCAAGGAGGCCTAAGAACACACAGGCTTCCTTCCATGCTCCAGCTCATTTGTTACCAGATCACTCATATAACAACTACCATACTCTCACCACCTGCAAGATCACTGTCAACAGCCCTGTGTTTGACCTGAATGTGTCCTGAGGAACCTACCTCCATGAGGAAGCAAAGAAATTACAACCCATGCAACAGGACTCATTAACTTGAAGGAGGGAGACCAACCAGGACAATTTGCCTGGCTTTTATTAAGGGTGAAGTTGAAATAGAAATTTTTAAAAAAATAATACTCTCTCATATTATTGTATTGGCTAGAATATTTCCTTTCAGTAATTTTCCACATGTATAAAACACAATTGTGAGCATACTGTGTGTCAAATTATGTGTCTTGAATTCTTTACTGAATAGCTTCTGGATTGGGTTAAGTTTAAAGAATACCTATTAGTTTCTTCCTACCCCAAATTGCTCAACTAAATTGCATACTTTTAACACTAGGCATTTGAAAGTGGAAAAGAAGCCTACTTAATAATGAAGAAAGTAGTACTGACTAGCAATCCTCCTTCTTCCTTGCTGGATATTTCTGGCAGATTAGACTCAGTGTTAGGGTCCTCTTGGATTATGACTCAGCTTTGCTGGGTCTCCTGCTCAGGGTACCATTTGAACAGAAGGAGTCCTTGATGATGACAAAGACTTAAGCCTGTCAGGCTAGTGCAACACAAGTATGTGAAAAGTTAAAGAATTTGTGCCAGAATATGTCAATTCAGTGCTTCTTTCATTGAAAAAATCTTGCTATGAGAAAAAAGTCAACTAAATTAAATAGTGTGTTTGATTTACATCATGGTGCAGGGTTCTTGAAGACAGTTGTAGCCTGGTAACAAGGTAAGAAGCAGTCCATGGGCCAGCACTAGAATCATAGGCCACATTTTGTGTACCACTATGAGAATTATAAACAGGTTCCTCCCCACTCAATGTCCATCTAGGGTGCTGAAGGCTGTTAAATCAGAAGATGTTCTTTGTTCTTTTAGTCCTTCTTTTTGAGATTCAGAAGAAAGCATCTAATTATTAGGGCCAAAGATTGACTAATTTTCTAAATTAGTCTATATCAAATTCTTTGAATTACCGTCTTACTGACCAACTCAAAATTGTCCAGTACACCATATATTTTGTTATTTGTTTTTTCAAAATTAAAATTTTTATTGAGGTATAATTGACACATAATATATTTTTTTCAGGTATAT